CCCCCTCCCCGCCGCGGGCTCCGGCCCCCGCCTGCCCCCGGGGATGGGGGAGCGGGCGTAGGTGACCACAGGGGCTGGGCAGGGTAAAGACAGAAGCTGATGGCTTGCAGGGGGGCGGGGGGGGCAGTGCCAAAAATTCGAAGCGGATCTTAACGAAAGCGCCGAGTTTTGGCTCCAAGGCAGGCGGAAGCCAGGACCCAGCTGGCCGTGATTTCCACCCTGTGGTGGGCTTCCATCAGCTTGACTGGCTAAACCCCAAGGAACCTAAATGGTGGAGGAGTAGCGGGAGCGGGAAAAAGGTTTTGATAAATCAGGACTCACCAATGTGAGGAAAATGACCCGACAGCTGCTGCGGGTATGCATTCATTTGCCATAGCTCCCAGATGAGCGCTCTCCACTTGAATTGTCTTGGTTTATTTAACTCACTAAACAGGAAAGGAAGGGTATCTACTCTGGGCAGTGTTCACATAACAAACTATTCTGGTTTCGGCTGACAACAGCTCTCTCTGCCATCCTCCGTATCGCAGACGGGTCCATAGGTCTCCCTCTACGTGTACGTTATGGCATGCCAACACTAGCAATCAAGTCACTGGACCGTACAAAGCTACCGCTCATTAGCCAAACGCAGGTAGCTGCATGCAGTCTCCTAGTCTCTCCCATTTCTTAGGTGAAGAGCTGAAATCACCATCATTTCATCCATGCGTGCAGGCTATTTTGTTTGAACTCTTGACACTAAAGTAGCTGTTTTGGAGAAAACCTCTCATGGATATTTTGCTGAGCAAGTGGAGGTAAATTCCTGGACTTATTTTAAACCTACATATATCATTTATACCAGGGATTTAAGCTAATACAGCAATATATAGCAAATGTTCGCAGTAAATTATATGTTATGGTCTATCAAGTCTTTATTTTACTTCTAAATTTGTCACAGTGACAGAATCCCCATAGCGCTGTGTCAGAACTCGTGCCATCATATAAAAAGATCAGACTGACACAGCTTCAAGATTAGTTTTATTTATGCTTACAACCCTATTTTAAAAAAAGAAAGGTTTGCTGTATTGGTTTTAATTAAACATTGCTCACTTTTTCTAAAAAAATGGATCTACCAAGAAAATGTTAATGAAGTAGCAAAGACTCCATTTTCTATTTTAATTTTTTTTAATGTAATGGAAAATGCAGCCTGGTCTTTGAATAACTCCTCTGTCCCTTTTAAATATTTATTGTGATTAAGCTTGGAGGGGGAAAGCAGTAGAAGCTTAGTATTATTTGAAATATTTTCCACAGCTTTTTTTAAAGTTATGACTCCTGGTTTCTATGGGGAAAACTGTTGTGGAAAATATATACAGCAAAAGTTCAACAGAGCAACTTAAGTAGAGGAGAACTCTATATAGAGAACTAGAGGAAAACCCCAGACCTCAGAGTTCATCACTATAAAAGGTGTATAAAGCCACAGGACTTGAACAGGGATTTACAAACCTTCTGATCTTTGATGGACAGCTGTGTGTAAGTGGCGCAATGGTGGAGTCAGAGGCACCAAACACAATGCTACGATTTGTCTTGGCAGCTCTTAATGTTGGCTGAATCTGTGTGTAAAGTTGCAGCTTAGATGCTACACACAGTATAACTTTTCAGATCTCCAGTTTTATTTGTGGTGTTTGATAAAGGTGTTGGGTTTTTTTTAAAAAAAACATATATGGTTTGTATTACACTCTTTTTTTTGCTTCAGAAAACCCACAAAACCTGAGAGCTGTTCTTTGAATATTGGAGGGCTTTTCAAGGCTGTCAAGAACAATGTAAGATTTCCACATCCTCTAAGCATAGAAGAGTTACATCCGAAGTATCATACGGCAAACTTTTTGTACTATAATTTAAATCCTACCAAACCCATAGACCCACTTGTATTATAAATTACAATGATATTGTGGATTTTGCTTGTGTGTCTGTATGTGTGGAGCTGGAAGAAAGGGTTGTCTTTTTGTTTTTATCTGTGCTGTATTGAATTTGTGTCCTCTAGGCTGACATTGGACAATTCAGACTATTCTTGTGTGTTGCCCAGAAAACCTTCACTTATCTCTAAAGCCAGCCAGTTGGATTTCATCCTCTCTGCAAACAAGACAGGACTAAACTAGCAACAGGTTCATTTTCTCCCACTGAACTTAACAAGGCACCTATATTGTTTAGTCCCATTTACAAATTTTGGCTTTTAGATACATAGTAGTCAGAAGCAAAAAGATGTTTAGGTGTCAATTTCAGTGTGAATGCCTGAAAGGGGAGTTAGATACTAAACACAGAACTCTCCTCACCCAGGACTAGATGGCAGATATTCGATTATTTATGTCTCCACCCATTGCCTAGACTCACTATACGGCATTTGGAGAGAAAAAGACATTTTCAGATGATAATTCTTTTCAGCCTAAAACAGGTATGTAAGATAGTGGGAAGTCATTCCCCTTTGGATATGACTATCTCACCCCACGGCAAAGGAGAGAGTCTATATGACTGCTATAGGCTTAAGTAATTCCACACAGGTAGAATTAGGGAAGTGGACCCCTGCTGCTATGCATGCTATGCTACGTTTGGAAATGAATCTAAATCACTGGAGCATTTTTGAAAATTTTACCCTGTATCTTTTTCTTTTCTTCTTCAAGCTATGGAAATAAATTTTCAACCTGAGATATTTTTGCATGTATCTACTTTATGTTATTGTGTATAGCAAGAGAATATGATAAAAGGGTAGTAATCACAACAAGTACCTTGTAGAAACCATCCCCACCATTTTTACTAGACCTGGTAGAACCCCCACAGCCCT